GTCAAATCACATTTTCATTTTTTTGTTGTCTCATTCAATTTGATGATGTTTTTTTTTTTTTTTATTATTATTGGCGATTACATGCCAAAAAAAAAAAATCTTCGGATAATATGTGGCAAGATGTTACAAACAACAGAAGAAAAAAAAAGACTAAACACTAAATAGCTTCAAGCAAAAATAATTGAATTTATTGATTGATTAAGAACAAAACTCTTAAAGGGACCAAGGAAATTCAAGGAAATGAGAACCTAACGAATGATTCAAAAAAAATGATCAAAAATTTTTTTCTCCCCCATTTGTTTTAATGAACAACTTTATTATAACATATCTTTTGAGATCATTCTATCAAGTATTTTAATAATAATATTCAAAACAAGATTGTGAAAGAAAGAAAGAAAGAAAAAAAATATAAATTTAGATCTTTTCGGATCGCAATCAAATTTTTTTTCAAGCCTCTTCATCGTAAAACAACTTGGTATTCGATGTAACGTGTTGAACATCTTTTTTTTATTATTCAAATTTTTTTTCAAAAAAAAACATGCATGTGATATTTTTTTCAAATAAAAAAAATTTCCATGTTTAGTTCACATATTAATTATTATTACTTTTCTGTGTATATACAGCATCATTCATATTTGTTATTTTTATCAATTTAACACACACAGTAGTAGCGCGGGCAGTAAAATATTTTGAATTTTTATTTGAAACAACACAAGTCCGGTGATCTCCGGTGATGATTGTACCTGTATTTATTGTGTATACGATGAAATCCAAATCCAAACAAACAAACAAACAAACAAAAAAATGCTGTCATGTTAAATTTTATTCAATTACCGAAAAGAAAAATTTTCTTTTCACTTAATAATTAGCTTCTTTTTATTAGGTTTTTTTTTCGGGGGAAAAAAATGCTGAAATGATGCGGAAGCTAGCCACCAGATTACATGATCACGGTAATTTATTCATTTTTTTCTTTACTTGATTTTTTCCCGATTTACTTTTTTTTCAAAATCACATCAAATTCAAAATAAATATTTTTGTTT